GAAACCAGTTGCTATTAAACCCTGGGTTTGGTTCCTGAATTACTCTCTGGCTTCCTTCCTGGTGATGTGATCTTTTGTTTTGTCACATGCATCATCATTGTGATGCCATTGGCCATGAGGCCTTTAAGAGAACCAAGATGACACAGATGTGATGTCCTTGATCTCTAGAACTATGAGTGAAATGAAATATCTTTATAAAGTTATTAAGCTTCAAGGTATTACATTATAGTAAAAACAAACAAAAACCAAAATGCTAATACAGTAAATAGTATGTTAGAAGTAGAAGAAAAAACCAAAAGACAAATGTTTGTGCTTTAGAAGACATCAACTTAAAAGTCTTGACTTCCAACTGGGCTAATGGTTACCAGCAGAAGGAAGGAAAGCTACAGGGACCACTCCACTGACTCTCTAAGGTTTGTCTGTTGGACTGATTCTGAAGATGAAGATGATTCTTATAGTACAAAATGTTGGGAAGTCGCCAAGCATAAAGTAAAACTTAAGGGGCTTGGAAGTTAAGAGCACTGACTGTTCTTCTAGAGCACCAGGGTTCAACCCCTAGCACCCACACAGTTACCCACAACAATCTATAGCTCCAGTCTCTGTGGATATGATGTCATCTTTTGGCCTCTGCATACACACATCACACAGACATACATTCAAGTACTGTATGCACGTGGTGCACAGACATTTAAGCAAACATCCACATAAAATTAAGATATCAAAATATTTTACCACATTACAGAGAATTCTCAACTTTTCAGAACAAAAAAATGTTTATTGTAAAGGTATAAGAGTTTTACACTCATTATATGTAAATATAAAACAAAGATAATAGTTTCTAAGCAGCTTGTCAAATATTTATTTTATTAATGTATGCTCATTATGAAGATTATAGAGTTTTTCATAAATATAGATTCAAAATAACAAGCATCTACAAGTGATGGCACTCCACAAAGTACTGGCTAGAAGGACAATCCTGAATGCAGATGTGGCCTTGCTGCATACTGGAAAGCAGCTCTGTCATCATGCCTTGATTCCTGAGTCATACCTGTACCCTTGGGTATAACTGTTCCAAATGCATGATTACTTACTAAATGTTCCCTAAGCTTGTTGCCTCTCACTAAGCACTAGTTCTCCTTTCTGGACCAACATTTGCTCCAAGTTCAAGGCCAAATAAGTAACATGAAGCATCAGCATCCAGAGGACAAGGTTACCTTCACCTGCTTAAAGTGAGGGGCAGTGGGACAGTGCTCATCTCTATCTAGAAGATGAAGAAAAAGCTAACACTATTTCTCAGTATACTTTGGTCTCTTGCCTTTTCTTATGCAGGATCACCTGACATTAAGATGAAGACAGGATGAGTTTCTAGCTGTCTCTTCCTCTGTGCTGAGATGTGTTAATACCATACATGTATGCATGTGTTTAATACATGCATGTGGTAACAGAAGTTACCCGTGTCTCCCTTTCTAAATTCAATTTTAGCTTAAATGTATGTATGTGCACTGCACTGTGGAATATGTCTTTCCTTTTCTTGTATCCAAATAGGAAAATATATTTAAGTTTCTCTAAACATACAGAGAAAGTAAGAACACTTAGTTTAATATTCACTGGGAAATAGTCATAAAGAGTAACACTAAAGAACAGGATTCACACTGCAGACAAAGATTAAAAACATCCAGTCTTTCAGATTAATATATCTGACTGACTTTCTCTAATGTTCCCGCTTCACCTGCAGCACATCAGACAAGGTAATAATTTATGATAATCATATGAAAATATACAATTAATATTCATCACCTCTCATTCCTCATCACTTTAGATGATCAGTAATGCAGAGTGAAAATGCTGTCAGGTTTCTAATTGCTTTGTAATGGGCTCGAAACAGGGAAATCATTAAAGGCAAACAATCTGTCATTTGTCTGTTACTTTAACTATCTATCACACCAAAAAACTCATTAAAGAAATTGCTAATGAGCTAAAAAGACTGTACTCATAGTGCTTCTTGGCAAATTAAAAAGTAATAGTATGAATTGCTCACCATATTTTTTAAAATATGATTTTTCTGGAAATTCATCAGAAAACAGTTATCTAATATATTTAGCTGTGTGCTTTCATCATTCTGGCATTGGCTCCATCAGTGTAGAAAGCCCATTAGCAAAGGAGACTTGTTTTTCATTCATCTCAAATGAGTAAACTGGAGGGTTTCAAGTAGAAGCTGAGATGCTAAATGTGTTTACCACTAGTAAACTGATGCAAGCAGTAACAAATAATACCACAGCGATACATACACTGAGCTGAAAAATATAGTGTAAAATATGTTTTTTAACTCATTTCTTTTGTGGACTTAAATTACGGAAGATGCAACACTTCATTCTTGAACCAGTCTATCGCCCTACAAATTACATTCAACTACTGAAGTTTATGCATCATAACATTAAGATCTACATAATAGCTCAACTGTTTTGAAATTTTGATGGTACTAACCAATACAAAGATGTCTCATAACATCATGGTGGGCAGTTTTACCAGAGAAACAAATAGTTTCTTTAAATTCTTATGTCTCCTACCACTCGTGCTTTAATGATGTCACTGACTTTTATTTTTATTTTCTAAGGACAATGGAGTAAACAACAAACAACAATCTAGGAATACTTTCCTCGTTATGCACTGCAGATGCAGTTTATTTTAGAAGAGCATATGAGTAAGGAAGGCGATAATGCTACTAATCACATTTCCGTCTTACTAATGATGAATCAAATGATGGGTTTCACTTTCCATAATGAAAGATAAGTCATATTAATGAAGTCAAACATCTTCTCCATGTGCATAACTATTCATATGCAGTCACATTTTAAGCCAGGTGCTGCAGTAAACATGCACTAGTGAATTCCAAACTAACTCCAAAAGGTTCCCTAACACCCTGGAAACATCTTCATTATACACTCTAATTGACTTAAACAGACTTCATATCAACTATTTAACACATTTTAACCCACAAATTAACACCCCCTGATCATTCAGATTAACCTTTCTTCTGTGAGTCAATTAAATGACAAAAATAAACTTTTTCTAAAAAAAGTAAAAATGGAGAAGGAAAGATGCTATAAAAAGCAGCATATAAACTGCTTTCTCGCCTATTGAAGAGATTGCTATGCATTCCAGGGAATCCAGGAAGAGAGATGCTGAAAATAGGTTGGCATGTATTATGATCGCTGAAGATGGACTAAGGACAGTATCTCTAATAGGATCTATGGTGGTTACAACGGAGGTATGAAGAATATAGGGACAAGAATCCCAGGTAAAATCAAGACTCCCCAATAATCTAAAGCAGATACAATGAAAGTTAAGAATAAACCATAGCATCAGGTGTGATAATACTGCTGAAATGACAAGAGAGTAGAGCAAGTTTAGGAGAGAAACAAAAGCTGGTTTGAAAAGGCAAGGTAGCATTGTTATGTCAGTCTGCTTCCTGTTACTACAACAAAATACAAAAGGTAACCAGTTTAAAAGGAAATAAATACCAGGTGGTGGTAACACACACCTTTTATCCCAGCACTTGGAAGACAGAGGCAGGTAGATTTCTGTGAGTTTGAGGCCAGTCTGGTCTACAGAGTTAGTTCCAGGACAGCTAGGACTGTTACATAAAGAAACCCTGTTTGGAAAACCAAAAATTAAAAAAAAAGGAAGAAGCATTTATTTTGGTAAGGATTTAAGTTTCCAGGTCTATAACAAGGCAGGAACTATGTGCAGTGGAAGCCACTCCCTTGGTGGCAGCTGGGAAGTAGAAAAACAGAGGACAGCACAGGAGAGGGTAGAGGTAGATAGAGTCCTAATACTGCATCCAAGGTCATGCTTCCTGTACTAATTTTCCCCTTTCTTGGCCCCACCTCCTGGTAGCACCATGACCCAGACACTAATCAGAACACAACACTGGGGGATGTTCTAGATAGAAACTATAGCAGTTGTTCATTGGATGATTTAAAGTTTGTATAAAGCTTTTATAACAATCATTCAAAGAGAAAAATTAAGTTTCTCAAATTCTTATCACACATTGCTCCTTCCCTTTAAAGTATTACTTAAAGCTGAAGATGTCCACACATCTTCATGGCTTAGTTTTGTTAGGAATCTGAGAGAAGTCCCACGGAAGACCATCAGTCACATATGCAATCATCAAGAACATTTATTAAAATTCCAACATGTTGGGGTGGCAATTGGGAAAGGCAAAAGAAGCCTGCAGGCTCCTTTTAAGCATGGTTGGGGGAATTCTAGGGAGGTGAGGGGAGTCTGGGAGTTGATTGGTGGGTTTAATTAAGAAGTTTACAGGTTGCTATAGAATTGGTTTTTCAGCTGCATGGTGGGAGACCTATCTTTAGTTCTCTTAAGCACGCACAAGGTTGCAGGGCGCCCTCTGATTGGTTACTCCTGGGTTGCTGCTTTCCCAAGAACTGCTTTCTGGGCTCCAGTCTGTTCCAGCAAACTGAAAGTAGGCCTGGTTTCTAACATGACTACCAGCAGGGCCTGTCATGGCCCTTGTCTGGCTCCCCAGAACTCTCAGTTTCATCTTGATTTAAAAACTTTCAGTAATTCGAACAACCTGTTCTGCTTTGTACTTGTAAGCTACCAATGTCAGTTCTTGGTATTCCTTCACAGGTTCTTTGCACTTATTTCAGGTGCTTATTTCTATATCTGTCTTCCAAGATGAGTAAGATGCAGCCAACACCGTCTAGTGTCACTCTGTATGAGGCACGCAGCAAACAATTTGTAGATTTGGTTAAGTAAAACAAGGCTGTTTATGTATAATATTATTGCCTTGAAAATATCATTACTAGCAGCTAAATACTAGTGGCTTACCCATCTTCCTAGTAAGGTTTTAAGTTGCTTTTGATGCAATTTGCCTAATTCCAGAATATAACTGTAACGCCACTGATAATTACAAATAAATTCAACTTAACTAAGTGATAGGAAAATCCTAAAAAAATCAGAAATAAATAATGAAATACCTAGTAAGGATACATGAATACAGCACCAAGGAATGAATAATTAGTACAAGTACACTGTTGCTGTGGTTTGGTCGTCTCAAGAGTAGTGCTATTTGATGGGACCTTTGGGAAGTGAAGTCCACTGGGAGATTCTTAGGCTATCAGCACTGTGTCACGTTTCCTTCCCATTTTGCTTCCTGGTCATGAAATAAAGAAAATTTGTTCTGTTACAAACTGTCCACATTTGTCACCTGGCACCCACTCATACAAGAATCCCAAAGCCATGTCTACATAACATTAACCTAAAATGTACAAAACTGTGAACCAAAAGAAATATTTTTGCTTTATACATTAGTCATCTCAGTATTTCATTGCAGTGGCAGGAGTGAGCACAACTGTCTATATGTTAAGAAGCACAGTTTTCTAGTATCATATCAAATCAATGTTTAGTGGGCATTCATTTATGAACAGATTAATATTAACATGACAAATTGAGTAATGGAGTAATTTTGGTTGCTGCTATAACTTGGAGTTTTAAACCTTAATAAAAGTATCTCTTTATGTATCTATAATACTTGATCATCATCTTGTAATCAAATATTTAATTTATGCCTATTGTTTTCCTTTAAGGTGTGGATAACATGAAAAATGTTGGTGCTTTAAATTTATCTTTTAACCAAACTAAAAGACTAATTCAGCAAGTAGTTGGGTGTGGCTTTATTTTTCTAATTCAGTAGTTTCTGGTGTTCAAAATGCCCTGAAATGCTGCCATGAGTATTTACTGTTATATGAAGACTAAGAAGCAAATATTTTACTAGAATAGTAACAACCCACCCTTACTAAATACTTACTGATTTTTGGTACAATTATTTCACTGAAGTCTCACAACGATTTATGAGGGAGGCAGTTATTTACAGAGGAAGAAAGCAGGGCTCTCACTTCCAGGAAGGGACAGAACTTGAGCTGAAGTTATACAGTTTGACTGTAGAATTCATGCCCATAACTACCACATAATAGTTATGTTTCCTTTAAGAATATTTTAATATTTATTTTAATTTTTTGTTTGGTTTTCTGAGACAGGGTTTCTCTGTACTGTTTTGGAGGCTGTCCTGGAACTCACTCTGTAGACCAGGCTAACCTCAAACTCACAGAGATCCACCTGCCTCTGCCTCCCGAGTGCTGGGATTAAAGGTGTGTGCCACCTCTGCCTGGCTATTTATTCTATTTTTAATTAATTGTAAGTTCATATAAGTGTGTGTGGCCTCAAAGGCCAGTGATGTTGGATCCCTCTGAAGTTGGAATTCCAAGTGGTTGTGCGCTGCCTACTGTAAGTGCAGGGGATAAAACTCAGATTTATTACCAAAGTAGTATGTGCTCTTAAGCATCGAGCCATCAATCCAAGCCCATAGTTTACATTTATCCTACATCAGTTCCACATAAGATGGATAAATTTGCTTCTGAAAATAAGGCAGGAAGAAACAAACCTATTGTAGAAAGTTGCTGGGAACCAAATTGTTCAAAGGCTTTCCTGAGGCCCTGAGAAGGACCTACAACTTGGCAGAGCTAGTAATAGCCTGGGGCCCAGAGCCTTGGGAGCTTTATCCTGAGGCTCTCACATATGGAAAAGGAACAAAGCTCCTTGTCTAAAACCACAAATATGCTTGGCAGAGTCAATAATGGCCCAGGGCCACGGTTGAGGTTGGGAGTAGGGGGCTGAGACTTGCCTGAAAAACCAACTATTTCTCTAAAGGGCTATGGTTATCAGTTCCAAGGCCTCTGTGATGTACTTGAGATACTCTGTGTTCCCTTTGTGCAATATCTCCTGCCCCCAGATTTCCTATCTTCTTTATCTTCTCGTCCCATGGTCTACTAGCTCTAGGACCCTGTCACTGAAGAACGACCTGGTCCAGGTCAGAAACTCATCTCTAGAAGTTGGAAGATTGAAGTGAGGCAGCTTCCAGTGCTCAGTTTATCTAACAGAGGTTTCTTGCCCACATGGCTGGCAATCTAACTGGGGGAACAGTTACAGATATTACAGATAATACATTTAATGACAATAACACATCATGGGATCAGAAGAGTGCCAACGAGCATTTGATAGGACTTGTAATGAAAGTTGAAGAAGTGGTTTCTAAAGACTCAGCTACTATTAAAGGTATATTAATGCCAGAATGAAAAGTTAGGGTTTTAGGGATGGAGAAATGGCTCTTCAGGTAAAATGCTGCTGCCAATTCTAACCTGAGCTTGGTACTCAGGTCCTACACAGTAGACAAAACAGCTGACTCCCACAAGTTGTACTCTGACCTCTAATGCATGCTGTAGCATACCCATACCCACACACATACAAATGCACACCCAATAAAAATTAATGAAATTGAAAAAGTTAGGACTTTATTCTTTAGACCTGCTTTGCTCAATGTAATAGCTATTGAATACTGGAAATGAGTAGCCCAAACCTAGATGTGCTGTAAAAGCAAACTATATCAGTTCTTTATATGATTACATTTATAATGATATTATAGATTTGTGTTCATTGTAAAGTCACACACGTAGCTTGCATTTCTGGCTGACTTTACTATATTTCTATTGAACAACATTTTTCTAGATAAAAGGAGATTAATGAGCAGTGACCCAAGTAACAATCACCTTGAGGAGTTTATCCAACTGTCAATGATTTGGATTATAAGACAACCATCTGCTTTTTCAATGAACTAAAAACAACAGCAATAATACCAGTTGTTAGTGAGGGGATTAGTGTGATAAATAAAATTTTAGAGACAGAACAACCGGGTTTGATGTTTCAAGAGTTTGGACACAGATGGAAGCAAATTACCCCTAAAAACATCTTCAAAGCAACCTGAGAGATTTGAAGAGGGTATATGCAGAATGGCATCAATTAAATATTGACAGTATTGGTTGATTAAGGACACCTTGGAGATAAAAGAAAAAGTTGGCAGCAAACTAAAGTACTTGGGGATAAAATGAAAAGCATTTGAGATTTCCTGGGAGGCATCAAATAGGTGGCTAAATATGAAACAACACAACACCCTAATGAGATAGTATATCAAAACGTTTGTTTTAAAAATAGAAATTCTTGAATATATTCTATATACAAAGAAGGGTCAGGTAGGACTGTTTGAGGGGAGGAAAGTTTGATGGAGGTTTTCTTATAGGATTGTAGAGGGTGAGATCCACAACACTTATTTCTGTCGCTTTGTGTATTTTGTTAGGCCCACACAGATAGTTTTCTAAGTCCAGGACCGAAGCTAGACACTCTCACCATTAGTATAATGATCTTTGCTTTGAACATGACAAAAATCCATATTTAGATTTTAAAGACAACTGTATCATTCTGCAATTCCTCATGTATTCTGCCATGTTTATAACATTAACAAATTTATCCTATTAGAATATTTCCACTTAGTTTTATTTTCAGTGCTTCTTAAAGCGATATTTGGTAGAAGAAAAATTAAAGGGAAAGTTTATCTAAGCAAGTAGCAACACCAAAACCACTTTGTATCTTCAAGGGAGGTCATTTCATGTTCTCAAAACTAAGATGCTTTTCATCTCTAGATACAATGCAAAGAAGTGATCAAAGCAAAGTTAGAAACATGGAGGAGAGTTAACAAAAGGGAACAAACCAAAACAAACAAAAAAAAGAGATGAGAGAAAAAAAACTAACATCACACTCAAAAGTGCTCGTTTGCAGTAACCCTTACCTAAATGACTCACAAAGGACAATTCATTCTGGTAAGAATGCTGGTTCTACACCTGCATAATCACATATCTGGCCTTGACCCTTGATTTGTTTCCTCATCTAGAAAGCAGTTATAGCAACACCTTCCAAAGTTGCCTCTGTGGGCTGAAGTGAATGCGAAAAAGAGATAGTAAATGTGAAAGTATTTGAATTTTTAAAAATCTTTAAGTCAGTTGCTGAAGTCTAAAGGGAATGGTAATTAGGCATAATTTATTAGCTGTCCTGGTCCTTATCACCAACACCCCTCCCCCAGTATAAACCAATAGGACCCAAGTTGCTCAAGGTAAGGTAAGAGGAACCTGGGATGAAGGTGTACCGCAGCAGAGGTGGACGGATGTGACAGTGTCGGTGCGAGGGCCAGGGACAATTAGAGCAAGATGAGGAAAGGCGTTTCTTCAGAGCTCCCCTCACTGCTGACAGAAGCCTGGGAAACCCGGACGGGTTACCATAGCGACCGCGTCGGGGCAGGAGGCGGGGCTCTTCGGATATGTGCATCTGCAACTAGGGCTCGACTGGAAACGCATTCCCGCGGAACGCCGACTTCCGGCGGAAGGGAAAGTGAGTTCCGCTCTCCGGCTGAGTGTGCTTCGGCTCCCTTGTGAAAGCTTGGTAAGTCTGACGCTATGTGGAGCCAGGGGAAGGGATTGATAGGAGCAGGCTTTGTAGAGTGAACTGTGGATGCCTCGGGTCCCCAAGCTTCAAGTCGGGGAGACCCGGCTGCTTCATGGTGAACTGCTTCCTAAAGCTGTGCATCATAGAATGCACAGCTTCAGGAGCGATGTCTTTGCAGGCTGTGATCATCTTTGCTCTAGCCGGTGCTGTCATTTCGTGCGTCTTTACATTTACTCTGGAAGAAATTAAGTGAATAGCAAAATTCAAGGGCTATGTATGCCCTCAACTTCAATTTCTTTGGCACTCTAATTCTTTTATCCATTCGTTTCGTAAACACTAAGCCCCAGTGTTTTTAGTGAACACCCGTATGCCAGTTTACCATTAGATAATAAGTATCTTCTTAGAAGTTTATCCATCACCGAGGTTCCTTATTAAATTCTTTTTCTGACACTGTGAATTTATTTAAGGGATAAGCATTTACCATGATGCATCTAGAGGTTTTCTGTACTTCCTAGTATCCTTCGTTGTACATGGCACTTATGGGACATTTTAAATGGAACTGTGGACTTTCTTGGGTTTGCCTTATGATCACTGTTTACTCAATCGAGGAATAAAGAATTTAGGAAGGCATGTTTCATTATTCCGACTGTAATGAATTGCCATACCATTTCTGCTGCAGCTTATCTGAGAGGGCACACTTCAAAGGACGGTGATGGCTTTTGAGCAGACACTCGAAAAGGATTTGTACAGCATTCTGGGGGCAGACCCGTCTGCAAATGCGTCAGACCTAAAACAAAAGTATCAGAAACTCATATTACTGGTAAGTCTTTTCTTTCAGATTGGAAGTCATGGTGGGGGAGGGGGAGGGTAATATGACCAGAAATCCAAGCTTCAAAACATGTATATCAATAGTAATCTATATATTTGCTTTTTCAGTTGAAAATTTCAATAGTATAGAAAAAAGAATTTGGATGAGGTATGAGATGGCATGGTGGTGGTTGAATTAGAATCCTCAGACTCTGTCACTATAAGAACTTGGATTACTTTTCCATTTGTCTCAGCTAGTGTTGAATGAAATTATCCATGTATGTTTAAAACAGCTTTTACTTAATTGTTGAAATCTGCTAGCTACTAACCATACTATTGAGACTTCAATGTGTAATATTCTGTGTATAAAATTGTAATGTGTTATAAATATAGAATATGCACTGGATTTTGATGACTTGGTACAAATAAGAATATAAAAACCTAAAAATTTTTAAAGTGATTAAATATTAAAATGACAATACTTTCTATGTATTGGCTGTTGCACAGGATGTATGCTCTTGTTTTACATATAATATTAAAATTTTAAGTAACATTTTTATTCTTTGAGAATTTCATATAATTTTGATCATATCATTCATCTTCTTCCAGCTTCTCCCAGATATACCCCCACCTCCTTACTAACCCAGATTCAAGCTCTCTTCTCTGCCACCTCAAACCTACTGTGTTCAATTTGTGTTGCCCTGGTCTACCAATCAGCAGTCAGACCCTTAAAGAAAACTGACTCATCCTCTGCCTGCAATTATCAAATGCCAGTAACTCCTCAGCTAGGGGTGGGGTTTTGTGCTCACCTCTTCCTGTCCATGCTGGGATTTATAATATCAAATGTACCTTAATTTTGCTTTTGCTTAACACGTATATGCAGCCTTTATTTATAGCTTAATGTCTATTGGATAGTGATAATTTAAGCCTTTTTATTGTTTTCACTAATATTTATTTGTTTTTAAAGTTAATGTGGTACATAAAATTATCTAATTGTTCTGTTCATTTATTCAGTCATACTTTGATGTTCATGAGCAAAGGTCTGTAACAGTGTAATGGTATCCATTTAGTTCAGTTTACAAAAAAGAGCAAAGAATCATTCTTATGTAGCATTGTTTGTCTAGTTTATGACAAATGTGATCTCTGATATTTTGCCCAAACTATGTTTATATCCATTTTGGTTTTGCTGTTTTATATTTACTGCTTCTATGTCTTCTCTAATGTCATGAAAATATTCTTCTGTGTCTTCTCTAAGAAGCTTTATAGTTTGCTTTACTGATAGACCTATGCCTTCTATGTAGGCTGAGGTTGGTGGCTAGACTTGTATGTTTCCTTAGTATGGAGGTGTAGTTCCTCCAGCATCATTTCCATAAAACATTTCTTTCTCTATTAACCTGTCTATTTCTGGGCATTATATGAAATTTTCTCATTCTTTTTAAGTTTTTGTTTGTTTACATTCTTTTTTATTTCACTTAAAAATGTGTGTGTGTGTGTGTGTGTGTGTGTGTGTGTGTGTTATTGTGTGCTGTGGTGTTTGTAGGTCAGAAAACAACAGAAGAGAGTCGGTTTTCTTTTTTAACCAGGTGGGTCATAGTGATACAACTCAGGTCCTTCGGTGTGGCAGCAAGTGCCTTTACCCACCTAGCCATCTTTCTAGTCCTTGCTTACATTTCTATAGAAATTTCGAATCAGCTTGTAAAATTCTAACAAAAAACAGTTTTGGCTGAGTCTTATAAAATTTCATTAATATATATCCATTTTAGCAAAATATATACCTTACCAGTATTGGATTTGAATATATAAACACATAATATTCTTTCCACTACTTACTTAAACCGTTTTTATCTCAACAATATTTATACTTTTTAGTATAGAAATTGTGCTAGTTAGTTTTTAGTGTCGGCTTGACACACCTGGAAAAAGGCAACCTCAGTTAAGGAACTGCCTAGGTCAGATTGGCTTGTGGTTTGTTCTTGGGACATGGTGTGGGAGGGCCCAGCCCATTGTGGGTGGTAATGTGCCTAGGCAGGTGGGCTTGGGCTGTATAAGAAAGCTAGCTGAGCATAAGCCAGTCAGGGAATAAAAGCCAGTGTTCCTGGATGGATGGTTTCTGTTTCAGTTCCCACCTGACTTCCCTCAATGATGTCTCATGACCTGGAAGTTGTAAGATAAAATAAACCCTTTCTTCCCCAAGTTCCTTTTGTTCAGAGGGTTTTATCACAGTAATAGAAAACTGAATAAGGACACATTATGCACATATTGCTTTGGATTTATACCTACCAATTTGATGATTTGGTTTCATTGGAAATGTCATTCTTTTTCCAATTTCACTTTGTAGTTACTGACTGACAGTATGTAGAATTAGTATAACTTATTTTCTTTTTTTTGGAGGGGGGTTTTGAGGCAGGGTTTCTCTGTATTGTTTTGGGAGCTGTCCTGGAACTCACTCTGTAGATCAGGCTGGCCTCGAACTCACAGAGATCCACCTGCCTCTGCCTCCCAAGTGCTGGGATTAAAGGCGTGTGCCACCAATGCCGGGCTATAACTTATTTTTATGTATCAGTATCTCGTTCTTCAATTGTGGTGACTTTGCTTTTGAATTCTCACAGAACTCTTATAAATTACTGAGAATTTTCTACCAACATAATCATCACCTAAAACAAAAGAGAGGTCTCTTTCTATTGTGTGTCATGTGTTTCTTCTTGCCATACTGTATGATCTACATGGTTTGTATTAAGTGTCAAACCTGGGACAAATGGCTGAGGTGCCATTTAATATATCAAAGTAGACATCCCCCCCCATCTCCCTTCAATCCCTCAGCCCTTACCTGTTGTAGGACTTTCCTGGCTGACAACACTCCAGCCCAGGAGGCTAGGCTGCTCTTCTCCATATAATCCAACCATTTTGGTTACCCACCCTCATACCTTTGGGCCTCCTGGCTGTTGCCTGGTTCCCATCGCTCCCCTCTCCTGCCCCTCTTCCCTCCCCTCACATGGCTCAGAGTCATATTCACTCTGGACTTTCCCAGATGTCATTGCCTCTGTTTATGCTGTCCCACTAATCTGCAATATACCTTCTACTCCACCGTACCTAGGAGCAGTCATATTCCTGTCCCTTTTAATTTCTTTTTTTCACTTCTTTTGTTTTTTTTTTTTTCTTGCATGTGCCTCTTGTCTCTTGTGGCTTTCTTCTTCTGCTATTGCTCTGCCAAGGTTCAAACCTGAAGTGGGTTTCTTCTCTCTGAAGAAGGGGCTTTTACATTTTGGATTTGGGTTCTACAGGCTTCCTAGAGGCCTCGATTTTCTTATTCTTCGGCCCTCTATTTTACAAAACCAAAAGAGGAATTATGGATTATGAAAAAAACTCTGGCTCATGACTTCATATGCTACAGTCGACAGTCATCAGAACCATTGCTCTTCTGCCTGTGCTGGGGCAGCTTATGGTTGAGCAAAAGCATTTACCAACTGCTAGGGAGCAAGGAAAAAGAGGAAGAGACCTGGCTTCCACATTGCTTTCAAGGGTACCTCCAAAGTCCTTAAGACTTCATTTAGGCCCCATCTGCCTATTAAAGGTCCCATCACTCTCTGATAACATCGACCTGAGGCTCAAGCATTTGTTTATCACATGGGTCTTTGAAGAAATTTCTGATCAAAACTATAGCAGTTACCATTGATGGTCAATTTTCCCATGTAAGTACTAACCAGGTCCAACCCTGCTTAACTTCTGAGATTGTGTGATATACAGGGCAGTATGGTCATAGACTATGATCAATTTTCCATCTCTGTTTTGGTGTTTCTCACTTAAAAATGTATTTTGACTTCATATATTCATGTCTCTATTTCCTTTGCTGATACAACAGTGGAATTTGGGGAGGAAGCATAGGTAAAGGTATGTATTAATTTGTGGTTTATTAGAGGCTCTGAGCCATTATTTCCCCCTGTTGTGGGACATATATCCTTCCCTGGCCATGTACCATTATTCCAGGTCTGTTTTAACCTGCCTGCTACCTTACCTGAGTAACTCTCATTGGTTGCTTGAAAATATTCTTAGAATCCTCAGCTGCCTGTGTGACCCCTCCTCCTGGGTACCCATTCCAGTAGTGATAGTTCTGTTGAACACAGATGGTATAACTGTAAAGTAGAGAGGATGTTAGCCTGCATGTCATAAAAGTTGGTGTTGACATTCTTTTTTCCTGCTTTTCTTTGGGAAAGAGTTGAGTGTGCTTACATCTGATGGGGAGAAACCAAGAAGAGTGTAGATTAAAGTTATAAAGATGGTACTGGCAGAAGGAAATGCCATCTCAAGAATAGGGAGAGGGATGAGCATTGGTAAGTGGAAGGAGAGACTTGTCTCCATTGTTACAGGAAGAAGGAGGAAAAGGTGAATGCATGGCTATCTCACCCATTTGATAGCCGAAAGCTGACGTGCTCTATTTGAGAGCTTCTTCTCTTCCTCTGAAGTAGAAGACAAAGCTGTCTATTGAGAAAAGGATATGAGGAAGAGAAGCAGCAAAATACAGGAGGGTATTCCCCTAGTATCATTCTGGATGTCAATAGTACATACTGGTATCAACAGTAAATCTCAGTTGGTAACTGTATATCAGGGGATAAGAGCCATAAGCCACCAGAAACAGTCAGATTGTATTTTGAACTTCTTGAGTCTGGGCTGCTGTTATACACGATCTGTCATTATTACAAACTAGCACAATAACTGATATTCCTAATTTTGACAGTGAATTATATACTATGCTCCATGTGTTCTGCTTAAGAAAGCAAGGATGTACAGGGCAGTAATGGCACATGCTTATAATACCAGCACTTGGGAGGCAGAAGCAGACAGATCTCTGTGAGTTTGAGGCTAGCCTGATCTACAGAGAGAGTTCCAGAACAGCCAGGGCTACACACAGAGAAACTGTCTTAAAAAACCAAAAACCAAAAAGAAGAGGAAAAGAAAGAAAGCAAGACTATGTATCACTGCTTTTTTTTTTTTTTTACAGACTACCAGCCTGCAAAT